TAACAGAACAGAGAACAGAGAGCCCCGCCCAGTTAACAGAACAGAGAGCTCAGCCCCGCCTACTAAAATGTTACATGTAACTTTTGTGTTTACAGAATTAAACTGAACCTTAAAGACTCCAAAAAGGAAATGTATACCTTTTTAATTTTATTTTTTATTTATTTATCCCCCCCCCATTTTTAAGCTAATATATCATCACAAGAGCCAGTTTACAGAAAGTATGTCTAAAGTTTATGGGGGTACATATTTTTATTGAGCATGCTAACTATGCTGCAACAACAAAAATGTCTGAAAAGTTTTGATTTTTTTCATCTAAGAATTTTTGTCTTAAGGAATATTTATTTTCCAGTTCTCTGTGCGTCCCTTCGGTTACCATATATTGATTAGTAAAAATTAATGTGGCTCACCCCTGGTATGTAAAAATTATTCACCCCATGAATATTTTGCTCCTTTATTGTTATTATAATCAATTGATTGATTAGACTGCATTTATAAATGAACCATCATGTTTCTCTAACTGGGCGTGTTTTAGTCCCAGTACTCAGCCAGGGACAGCTGGGAGGGTAAACTCTGTTTAAAATATTTTAGGATAAATTCTTTCTATATATATGTTGTTATTTTTAAACTAATCTCTCTCCTCACATTTTTAAATATATAATTGCACTACATTCTAGTTTCTTTTCTCTAACATTGTTTTTTTTATTGTTAGTTCAATAAACGATAAAAACCTTTTTGGTCTTGGATTATTTGGCGTTATAATCACGTGTTTATAACTCGAGGGTGGCGTTTCAACATTTCCTCACGTATGGATAAACACCATTTAGAGGCTCGACACAAAACTGAAACATAAAAACTTTTTGCGTATTCCCAAAACTCTGTTCCTGTGTGGACGAGGCCTCGGACAGGTTAACATAAAAAAAAGGTATTTTGATTTACTAACTAATATTATCCATCTGAAAACAGCTTCTTTATATTCAAATGATAGAAAATGAAGTAAATATTTGGAGTATCTGAGGCCCAACCACGTTTATTAACTGCACACGTTGTGTTGAATTTAAGTTATTTAGTGCGCTGATAAAACTGAACCACTGCCTTCTCCTGTTCGCTGGTTTCAATGGAGCCTGGTCTCAGCCGGCGTATCTCTTTGATCGCGTCGATACCAGAAAGCTTCCTCTTCTTCACCAGGTAGCAGGCCAGCATGGTCCCAGTTCGTCCATGACCGTGCATGCAGTGAACCGCCACACCCTGACGACAAACAAAACAAAGCTCGGAGTAAATCTGCAGCGTGCCACACACCCTGCAGTGCACCGTGTTAAGACGGGTGGTTGGGCGCGTCGCACAAAGAGCTGAAGCTGCGTCAGGTTTTATTCATCACATGTCTGATGTTCGTTAAACTTTCAGGAAGTTATCATTTATCAACAAATGACAGTCAAAGTTAGCATGCGAGGCTCAATGGGACTAACCTGTATAAATAAAGGTTGAATGAACTTTAGCATGAATGTTTCACATATTGAGCTAAATGGAACGGGATGTCCTTCCTGACGCAACCACGGCCCCCTGTGGAGCAGAGAGCTGCCATCTGGGGCGCCCGAGGAGCAGATGGTGGGGGTTAAGAACCTTGCTCAAGGGCACAGAGTGGAGCAAATCACCATTTCCACCCACATTTTGATGTTGTCGGTTCAGGGGGTTGAACCGGTGACCTTCTCCTTCTCTAACCTCTGCACCACCACTCCCCTGATTACAAGGTTAGAGCAAAGCGCCCATATCTCAAATATGATTTTAATTTAAAACTCTGGCGTGAAAAGCAGCGGGCGACGTATTCTTTCAAGATTTGCTTTTTTTTTGAAGTTATAGAAGAATTTTAGGGCAACTTTTGGTTTCACAATCAACGTGTGACAGTGAAGGTGGCTCAGAAAGACTTGGGCCCAGATAAACGTTCCTGCTGCCAAAGAGAACGTGAACAACACGTTACCTCTCCCTTGGCGTTGGCGTTTTCCACCACAGAGAGGAATCGATCGATCTGAGCGGGCGAAGGAGGAGTGAAGTCTGCGATCTTAACGTGGTGAAGCTGCAGCTCGGGACACGAGTCGTGGTGAGGCGGTTTCCTCTCGCACAGGCAAACCAGGTGTCTGATCCCATTGTCCAGCAGGTACCGATACTCACACGGCATCCTGGGCAAGGCCAGTCCGGCCAGTTTACCAGGATCCACCCAGGAGAAGTTATGTGGAGCGAAAGAGTCCATGAGGCTGAGATTACACAATAAACACACGTTTATTAAAATCATTTGTCACAACACTTAAAACAGCAAAACACTTCTGTACCAGTGAGGTTGGTAATAACTAAGATCGTTTATCAGTTGCAGATTGTTGCATAATTTACATTCCCTGCGACTTGTTCATGATTTGTTTTTTATAAACCAATTTTTGGCAGAGATGACCGTTTTCATTCATTCTGACATGGAAAATATTGAGCACTACCATTTTCAGCCACTAGAGGGCACTGGAGTAGTATGGCATGCCGTTGTGTCGTGTAATAGGTAAAAGAGGCTGTTAATGACACAATCAGCTTGCCATAGCCTGCCACCTTTATCCATCTCACCTGGAGCATCTGAATCAGCTTCATTTTGCTGCATCGCCCCGAAGAAATGCAGCTGATTTGACCATTAAAGTGCATTAACACATCTGGGCTCACAGCACTCAATTAAAAGATAGATGGCACTAAAACATAATATTTTACTGACAATCTGAAGCTGAGAAGGGTTCTGAAACACTGATGCAAAAATGAGAAATAGTTTTTCTTTGATACACAATTAATCACAAATTGTCCCCATTTAGTTTGACTAATGTTTCCTTTGCATGATAGTTCTGGATAACAGTTATTAATAACTAACTATTACTTCTGTTAACTAACAGGACCATGCTGCTAACAGTGTTTTTATAACACTATATTTTTATACTGTTGCCTGTACTCTATATGTTATTTGTCTAAAACAGGTCTCTCTTGTAAATGAGTCCTCATGAGACTAACCTGTGTAAATAAAGGTTAACATTTTAATAATAATTATTAATAATGAATATGCTTGTGTAGTTTCTATGTTCAATGATAAGTACATGTTGATCAAAGAACAATTCATAGACTCTTTATTTGTTTCATACTTTTCGGGTTTAGTAAAAATGGTCGAATGGTTCATGAGATATTTTGCTAACAGACAACAATGTTTTAGGGATAATATGCAGGAATTAGCTCTCAGAGTACGTCTTGGGGATGATGCTCAGCTACAACCACGGAATTAGTTCTCTGCATTTAACTCATCGCACATGAGATACACCCAGGTGGCGCAGTGGGCAGCTAAACATCTGTTGCATCGGCCGGGATTCGAACCCGGAACTCCCGCGGGGCACCCCATTTTTAGCACATTAATCGCTATAAAACATTCGTTAGGTTCAAGTTTGCATCCCATGTGAACAAAACGGGTTTATGTGATTTAATCCCGACTAATCATTCCCACACAATCCGAACAAGAGTCTGATGCTAACAACAACAAGCTAACCCGCTTCACCGAAACACACAAAACCAAGCTAGCAGCTAGCATTAGCTTTTGTAGTTCACCACAGGAGCTAACTGGCCCTGAAGCAACAAGTCAGAGCAGAACATTTGTTCTTTAGTGGAATAAACAAAATTACTTACAGTGCTTGAAGAGGACGAACCGCGGGGCCGGCTAGCAGCTACTTCCTGTCGCTCGGACGTGAAACATCAGCAAAGTTCAGCCGCATCGAGCTCCACCTGCTGCAGCGACAGGTGTGGCAGCGCCGGTCCATCTGCAGGATTACAGCTGTCAGTGAACCAGGTGAGAGGTGAAGCTCCGTGGGTTCACCGTGTTCCGACCAGACGTCATGTAAGCACGTGACATCCAACAGCTGGACCAGCGACCTCTTCCGGTGCCCCCCCACCGGAACCAGGCCCTGAAAGTGTCTGAATGTTCCTCCACGGAGCAGCATCAGAAACTCTAAAAGATGTTTCTGATGATAATCTGTAATCTGAAATACGACGACCACACATCGCTTTTTATTATTATATAAAAGTTTGTATGTCGGTGTTCGCATAAGTCAGGATGGCCGAGCGGTCTAAGGCGCTGCGTTCAGGTCGCAGTCTCCCCTGGAGGCGTGGGTTCGAATCCCACTTCTGACATGAAGCTTTTTTTGTGATCATGTTTTATTATTATTCATAATTTAAAAATAATAAACAGTGATTTTATTGCAGTGACGTGCTGGATAAAAACAGTTTTTTCTCATTTGACATAAATCACGTCGAAGCACTAAAGTTTTTGCCTTTGTGCGTGTTCATTTGTTGGTAAGGCTAGCAAACTATTTAATGAATTACTAAACAGATTTTAATAAAACTGAAGAGACGATTTATTAATGAGCCAATTCAAGATGGCCGCCACAGAAAGCGAATGCAAAAATAGCTTTAACTCAATAAACTTTACAGATTCGAGACTGAAATAGTTATCTGAGAGCTTTAAAATGTAGCCTCTCTGACTTGTCTGTCAGCAAAATATCTCAGTCTAGCCTACTTTATGGAGTTTAATGCAACTTTAAGAAAAATATATAATTGAACATAAATAATGGCCAAAATGGATGCGATAATTAATTGTAGTCTACATGAAAATGGATAAATTGAATTGAATTGAGCTAAACTTTGGTGTGGTAGTAGCTGACAGTCACTCACGACACATAGTTCGAGGGCTAAAAGATCTTTCGGAGTCACGCGAGATCACATTTTACTTTAAGGTTTGACCAAAATGGCTCCAACCGTCACGTCTCAGATGATTGTAGATTAAAATTCGGATGTAAAAAGGGGATTATTTTTATCGAGGAATACAGGCCTTTATTTTTATTGTTCACCGTTTTCATGTTCTGAAGTCTTTACCGTGACAAACGTGTTTGTTTACAGTTCAAATGACGTGGAAGCAGTGTTTATGTTATTGTATGTCAAATTATCTCACAGTTTTTGTTATTAAAATATAAAAGTGTTCAACTCATTTAGACATTTAAGTTTTTTATTTCACATTAAAAAGCAACTAAACCTGATGCTGTGTTGTGTTATGCTCAGGTGTAGTTTCTATGGTCCAAGTGTAGTTCCTATGGTCCAGGTGTAGTTTCTATGGTCCAAGTGTAGTTTCTATGGTCCAGGTGTAGTTTCTATGGTCCAAGTGTAGTTTCTATGGTCCAAGTGTAGTTTCTATGGTCCAGGTGTAGAATGGTCCAACTGTAGAATGGTCCAGGTGTAGTTTCTGTGGGCCGGGTGTATTTTATATGGTCCAGGTGTAGTTTCTATGGTCCAGGTGTACAAAGTAGTTTATATGGTCCAGGTGTAGTTTCTATGGTCCAGGTGTAGTTTCTATGGTCCAGGTATAGTTTATATGGTCCAGGTGTAGTTCCTATGGTCCAAGTGTAGTTTCTATGATCCAGGTATAGTTTATATGGTCCAGGTGTAGTTTCTATGGTCCAAGTGTAGTTTCTATGGTCCAGGTGTAGTTTCTATGGTCCAGGTATAGTTTCTATGGTCCAGGTGTAGTTCCTATGGTCCAGGTGTAGTTCCTATGGTCCAAGTGTAGTTTCTATGGTCCAGGTATAGTTTATATGGTCTAGGTGTAGTTTATGTGGGAAAAAAAATAAAGTAAAACATATAAATGATTATATAAATATAACATATAAACTAAATATAAATAAAATATATATAAATAAAATATAAATATAACATGTAAATAACATATAAATGATGTAATTACAAATAATAAAACATGAAGAGTAGAGCGAGTGAAGACAGCAGCAGCGAGAGATGATGTGGTCAGTTTGTCCTCCAGCAGTCGAAGCCTATAGCAGCAGAACTAAGGGACAGCTCAGGAAACCCAAGCCAACCCCAACTATAGGATTTATCAAAAAGGAATGTGTTCAGCCTTAGTAAACAGGGTGTCGGTGTCACGGACAGAAACTGGAAGTTGGTTCCACAAGAGCGGAGCCTGGTAACTGAAAGATCTTCCTTTCGTTCTGCTTTTAGACACAGTTTCTGGATCAGGCTGGAAAGGATGTGCAGCTGGTGAGCTCTGTTTCAGAACACCAAGTTCTTTAATGTAAAGTGGAGCTCGGTTCTTAACAGTTTTAAAGTAAGAAGATTTAAAATTCTTTAAAGTGAGCCTCCTCTTCTCTCTGCGCCGTCCGTCACAAAAACAAGTCCCAGTGGAAACGTCTAAACTTTTATTTTTCTTGCCATATTTAGGCCTGAAAATAAAATTATAAATAATGGCAGTGGTCATACATACCCCATGCAAAGACTCCGCAGCCCCCTGGGGGTCTCGCCCCTGTTTTAGAACCTGTGGTAGAAGAACTCTGAGGAAAACAAGGATCTGCTGACGTAAATCTTAAAATGACCTTAAATGGTATTCTTAATTTAACCGTTAGATTTTTTTACTACGTTTTGTTGTGAATAAACTGTCGGTGTCTTGAGTTTGTCAATCGTCACATTCTTGTTTTCATTTACATTTATACAACACTTTCATAACTGGTGTTGATAACAAAATAAAAACTTAAAGACCTCCAAAGAATTTTTGTAAACAGAGTTTTCAGAACACACATTCGTGGTCGTGTTGTCTAGTTGTTTTATTTCTACATTTAAATTGGCATTTAGTGTTTTAACCACAAACACTCGGAAGAAACCCTGATTTTAAAATCAGCATTTTGGGGACTTGAATCGTTTCACTTTAACATTTTCCCTCCCGTGCACCAAGGAGGATAAAATCGTGTCCATGCAGTGACTAATGATGCGAACACAAACACGGAGAAGTCACAGCTCCGCACACGTTGTTTGGTACAGATCTTAGAAACAGGAAGGAGACGAACCGAGTCTGATCCATGATGCACATATTTTCAGAAAGGCGTAACGGCAACGACGTCCCCGTTAAAAGAGTTCACGGACACGTTGCTTTTAGAAAAACAGATGAAAGAGGAAGAAGGCGGCGGCCTCAGAAATGACCTCGTAAAGTTACACAAAGAAGTTTTGGTGAAAGTGGAACGAACTAAATCCAACAACCTTAATGCCGTAATCAGGCGCCGTCTCGTGGCTGAACCCCACAAACCGTTGAACAGAACCCCCACAAGAACAACGAACTGCTTGAACCCTTTTATTTGTACACGATACAAGCTGACGACTTGGTGGCTGGTCGTCCCATCGCCCGTTACACCACCGGGCGATTTTTAATCCCATCATCGCCAACATCCCCTCATCGTGCTGCACGATCCCAACAAACCCCAACATGTTTACTGGTTACATGTTTTAACTTTTTCACTCTTTAAGTGCCAAACTGGGCAAAACAAATTGCCACGCCGTCCCAGTAGAAGATTTCAGTGAGTTTTGAACCTTCGTGCTGAATGTTGGCGGCTGAAGGGCCGTGTGGAGTTTACAGGACGGCACAGAAGAACTTCTTCTCCCTGAACGGGTTCTCCGACGCTGGCACCGGCGACAACAGAGGGTCCTCTTTGGCGTGAGCTTCGCAGTAAGACATCAGGTCCGCCACTGCTTTAGACACCTGGAATCAGACAGACGGCTCGTTTACCAGTTCCTGTTGGACCATCGACTGGACGGGGCCAAGCTGCGATACACTCACCCATAAAACAATAAAAGACAGGAGGCAAAACATGCGTGATGAAAGGTCATGGTTCTTTACGGTCGTCCACATCACACGAGGTACGTGAGGTGGAACGAAACTGTGCAGCCAGGGTCCCAGTTACACCCAATAGCAAAAATATCAAGTATAAACAGTAAATCAAATATACACTAAACAATATGAAAGTTATATAGAGAAACTGCATTTCCTGCAAAAATGTACTGTGAATGCTTATTGCAGAAGACCTTGCTGAGAAAGAGCTGAAATTAGCTAAAAATGTGCTGAATTGTAGCTGAAATGGAAGAACAAGCTTAAAATTAACAGAATAAAGAAGAAAGAACAGATATTTGCAAATAGTTTTAAATAAGCAGAAAATGAGAAAAAAGCTTAAATTAGCTGAAAAGCAGCTGAAAAGGCAGAAGAAGCTTGAATACTAGAAGGAAGTGGAAAGAGCTGAAATTAGCTAAACAAATGTGGATTAGCTGAAAAAGCTAAAATTAGCATAAAAACAGCTAAATAGTAACTGAAATAGCAAAACGGCTGAAACTTGCAGAAATAAGCTGAAAGGCGCAGCACAAGCTGAAATAAGCAGAAAGAAGTTATTTAGGCTGAAAGTGGCAAAAAAAATTAAATTTAACTGAAAACAGCTGGGCAGCACGGTGGCGCAACTGGTAGAGCTGCTGCCTCTCAGCGAGCAGGTCCTTGGTTCAAACCCCGGTCCAGGGGCCTTTCTGGGTGGAGTTTGCATGTTCTCTCCGTGCATGCGTGGGTTTTCCCCGGGTGCTCCGGTTTCCTCCCACAGACCAAAAACATGCATGTTAGGCTGATTGGTAACTCTAAAATTGTCCCTAGTTGTGAGTGAGAGAGTGAATGGTTGTTTGTCTCGTTTGTCTCTATGTGTCCCTGTGATGGACTTGCGACCTGTCCAGGGTGTCCCCCGCCCCTCGCACAGTGATTGCTGGACATGGGCACCAGCGACCCCCGTGACCCAAAATGGAATAAACGGGTAAAGAAAATGGATGGATGGATGGATGAAAACAGTTGAAATTAGCTAGAAAATTCTTAAAAAGGTAGAACAAGCTTAAATTAGCAGAAAGAACACATTTGCCAAATTAGGCCGAAAGAAGCAGAAATGAACACGAACAAGTGGAAATTATCTGAAAAAAGCCACACACACAAAAAAAAAAAAACAGCTGAAATGTAGCTAAAAAAAGTAGAAAGAAGCTTAAATTACCACATGGAAGTGGAGAAAGCACATTTTTGCTGAATTAGGCTGAAAAATGTTGAAATTAGTGCAAAAACATGTTGAATTAGCTGAAACAGCTTTAATTAGCATAAAAAACAGCTAAATAGTAGTTAAAAAAGCTGAAACTTGCAGAAATAAGCTGAAAGAAGCATAACAAGCTGAAGAAGTTAGAAGAAGCCCAAAAATGTTGTAGTTAGTGGAAAGAATCTAAAAGGAGCACAAAAAACAGCTAAAAAAAATAAACAGCTGAAATGAGCTGAAAGTAGCTGAAAATGTTTAAATTTGCACAAGGAAGCTGAAAGAAGCTGAAGCAGAACAAAATGTGAAAAGGAACAGGAAAAGGTTGTAAACAGATCTAAAGATTTTTGAAGGATGGAAAATGAGCTCAATTCATTTTCCATGAGAACAAAATGACAGAAAAGGCTAAATATTTAAAAAAGCTAAAGTTGCACCAAAACCAAAAGTCAGAGCAGGATTGTCCTGTAAGAGCCGAACGTTTTGATTATGATTTGGTGAAATAGTTTGAAAACTGCAGGATGAGAAAGATGCTAAAATCGTACGGAAGGAAAATGGATCACAAAAGTGAGAATGCTTCATAAACGTTCACACAAGTCAGTGTATTAAACAGCAGCCTGAACATGAGTCTGCTGTGAGCAGGTGGGTGTGGAAACAGCAGCAAACGGTAAGAAGTCAGCAGCGTGGATAAGTCACATGTCAGCACAGTGATTCTCCTGGTTAGAGATTCATGAGTCTAACAGCCTCAGGGTAGAAGCTGTTCCTCAGTCTAGTGGTTCTACATTTAATGCTCCTCAACCTCCTTCCTGAGGGGAGTGGGGCAAAAAGTGTGTGTGCTGGGTGAGTGTGGTCCTTCATGATGCAGGTGGTCCTCTTCCTGCATCTGGAGGTGTAGATGTCTGTGATGGTGGGGAGGCTGACTCCAACATCTTCTGTGCAGCCTCCATGCCACACGTTGATGCTGGAGCACAGGATGCTCTCCGCTGCACACCCGTCCTGTGACCTTGTTGTAATAATTAAAGGTGTTCGAATGTGTGAGGAGAGTTCACCGAGTTCGATGGGCAACATAAAATCAGTTCATTGATGTCTAACAACACAAACCATAAAATTAATATTTAAAATCTTATTTACGTCTGTGAATAAAAAATATTTATCAGTGGTGTCTCGATACCAGCGTCACATATTCATACTGGTGCTCATAAAAACACTCCAGTACTTCAAACCAATACCACTTTTTGCTTGGTGATGTCATTTCCTCTTCTACTTTACACGTAATGGAGGATAAAACATAAAAAATATCCGTAGTTTAGAGATATTTTAGAATAAACAGCTGATGTTAAGACGCTGATCGATGAGTTATTAATAAAATAAATGTGTTTGTAAAGTCATTGTGAAATGTTTAAATACTAACATTAAGTACTCTTGGCAACTACTGAAACTGAAATGTTTTTATTTGTACTCGGTCTGAGCAAAGATCAGTACGCCCCAAATATTTACAACTATTTAATAAATTATTAAAACTTTTGCAAACCAACTCTTGTTACTTTCACAACGTGTCGGTTTGAATTATGCTTCAAAAGGTCGATTCTTTTGTCTCTTTTCTCTTCACCCGCTGCGTCTCACTGCTGCAGAACAGCCGAGTTATCTCCGAGTTAAAAACTTCGTCTTAGAAACAGAAATCAAAGATTCGTTTTAACTCTCGTGACAAACGCTGAAACAAAAACACATCAGTCTTCTGCAGCGCAGTTAAAAATATTAAGACTGTTAGAAAGTTAGTTCTCACACCGACTGCTTGCTGAGACTTACTTTTCAGTCTGCCAAGCCATGGAGTGACAGCCAGGTGTGTAGTTACCATGGTGACCACAATGAGCTTCTGCAGCAGCTGTAAAAAACATCTTTTCAACTTGGTTCTCTACTTGGGCCTTGCTCAAGGGTTCTAAGCAGCACAAATGTGGGTGGAGGCAGGTGTGCTTCACCTTTACCACCCACCCCCTGAGCTCAGGCTTGCCTTCTCCAACCTCTTCACCACCGCTCCCCCACAGATGGTTTTCAATGGGTCGAATTTCCCCCTAATGAACACTAGAGGGCAGCAAAGTTACTGAGAGCCGACAGGAGCGTTTGAACCAACAACCCTGCTGCTGCCCTGGGGTCAACACGACCCACGAGGCCTGAGATTTAGGCCCTGTGGTGGAAATCTTCGTGTTTTCACGAGGTTTACTGGGACTACTGAACAAAACAGAGCAGCTTTAAAGGGTTTGAGGCTCTTTGTCATGAATGGCTGTGTTTACTTTAACACCATAATAAATACATCAATAAAATAAGTGAATTTATTAATTAATAAGTAAATAAATAAACAAATATGTCAACCAATAACTAAATAAGTAAATTAATAAGTAAATTAATAAATGAAAATTAATAACTAAATACATTTTTAAATAATTAAATAAAAAGTAAATAAGTAAACAAAAAAGTAAATAAACAAGTAAACAAATAAGTAAATAAATAAAATAGATGAAAATAATAACTAAATAGTAAATAAATAAGTAAATTAATAAATGAAAATTATAACTAAATAAGTAAATAAATTAATAAATAAGTAAATAAATAAGTAAATAAACAAGTAAATATATAAAATGCACTGCTGATTATTTCCCATGGGATGATCTGAGTGTTAATTTGCAACTGTAGATAAAGTCAAATCCCTGCTGGCCTTAAAAACAGCAACATTTTTTCAGTTTTTCTCACTCGAGTTCTTTATAAACATCCTGTGGAGGAAAATAAAAGACATCAGGTGTGTTCACCTTGATCCTGTCGATGTTGGCCTCCATCTTCAGCTGCTCCACCAGCTTCCTGGCCTGAGCGATGCTGGCCGTGTTGTTGCTCGCCATCCGTGCTCTCGGTCACGCCTCGCCCGCTCCGCCTGCGTGGAGGAGACATGACAGTTCACTGACGTTCACTACAAGCAACACCCCCCCCCTGTTTACCATCACATGCCCGAGAACACACACACACACACACACACACACGTGTTTTATTTATGGCATCAGTTGCTAGGCAGCCCCTGACAGTGAGGGGAGAGTTCGGGAGGAAAATGTGGGGGTGGTACTTTGTCCAGCACAATCTTTAAAATAGATAAATGGATACATATATTGTTTTTTCAAAATAAAAGCATCCACTGTGGACAGAATTATAGAAGAAAGAAATATTAACACGAGTGAGTCACAGTGAAGGACAGCACCACCTGATGACTCGTGGACTCTGGTGTCAAACACACTTTGTCATATTTGTGTGTAAATCGTTCACTCCACTGAGAAACGGTTTTCGTCCGTACGTTTTTCAGCACACAACTCAATCATCAATTTTTGTTCCACTTCAACAATTCATATTCCAAAACGTTCGGCTCATCCAGGACATTCCTGCTGAGACTTTTGGTGTTCGTGTCATTTTTACTCTTTGAAAGATTTATCTTTCTCAGCCATGTTCGTCCCAGTGTCATGACTGGAGTCTCTTCACGTCTGTTCATTTTACAGACACCGAGCTAAAAGTCGGCGCGGCAGTAGCTGAGACTGGTCCAAGCTTGGACGTGGAGCACTAACTGAAAACGCAAGGATGTGTTTGAAGGATTGCCAATAACTAATGTAACCAATGGAATCAACTCTGTCTGTTTGTTAGCAAAATATTTCAAAAAGCACTGGATGGATTTTAGCAGAAGTTTCATATAGCATCAAGAAATCAAACAGTTCCTTGAAGTTGTAGAGGGGTCCAGTTTACACACACAGTGCCTTGTGAAAGGATTGTTCAGTGCGCACAACCACTCACCCCCTCAGGACTTTGCAGAGCCACGTGTTGCCACAGTCACAGCCGCACTTTGGCTCGGTCCGTCACATCTCGCCACTGGGATTTTTCTTCATTCCTCACAATAAAACTGCTCCAACTCCTTCAAGTTTGATGGTTTCTGCTGGCGAACAGCAATCTTCCAGTCGGACCACAGATTCTCGTTGGATTAAGGTCTGGGCTTTGACTAGACCATTCCAAAACATTTACACCGTTCCCCTTAAACCACTCGAGTGTTGCTTTGGTGGAACGCTTCGGGTCGCTGTCCTGTTAGAAGGTGAAGTCTATCACTGTATTTATCACCATCCATCTGCCCCTGAAAAACATCCCCACAGCATGATGCAGCCACCACCATGTTTCACTGTAGGGATGGTGTTATGAGATGTGTTAGTTTTGCAGAAGATGTAGAGCTTTTCTTGGTGGCCGAGAAGTTCAGTTTTGGTCTCATCTGACCAGAGCACCTTCTTCCATACATCCAAACATTTGGGGATTCTCCCACACGCCTCTGGTCAAACTCAAAACAAACCTTCCTATATTTGTCCGTAAAGGCTTTTTTCTGGCCGCTCTTCCATAAAGCCCAGTTCTGTGGAGTGTATGGGTCATTGTGGTCATATGGACAGGTACTCCAGTCTCTGCCTGGGACCTCTGCAGCTCCTCCAGGGCACCTCTGGTCTCAGTGTTGCCTCTCTGAGGAATGCCCTCCTCCCCCCCTCTTGGCAGGTTTGTTGTGGTACCATGTTCTTTCCGTTTGACGATAATGGATTTGATGGTACTCCGAGGGTTTGGATATTTTTTATAACCCAACCCTGACTTGTTTTGAGAGCCCCTTCATGGTGTTGGTTAGTTAGTGGTGCCTCTTGCCTAATGGTGCTGCAACCTCTGGAGCCTTTCAGAAAAGGTGTGTGCAGACAGATCATGTGACACAGATTGCACACAGGTGGACTTAATTTCAATAAGTATGTGATTTCTAAACCAGAACATTATAGGTGGTAAATACTTGTGCACATGTTGTTTATTGTCCAAAATTTGTTACTTTATATATTATTTCTCCTTTGACTTCACCAACGTAGAATATTTTGTGCAGAAGAATCACATACAGTGCAGATTAAAATAAAAAAGTCAAGGCTATAAAGCCAAGAGGGGTGGATACTGTGGCAAGGCGCTGTAAATGCATCGGCCATCTTGGATTTGAACTTGACAACCCAGTTTTCAAAAGTGACCTTTTTTCCACCTAAACGCAGCCACACATCAACACGAGAGTCGGTACCTCACTTACTTTTCAAGATGTCATGCTGGCAACGTGCACGGGCGGACAGAGGGACTGGTGGATGGAGAGTATTTCCAATTCTTTGCTTTGCGTTGGGGGATGAAAATAGCCGTGTGGTGGTGATCCAGGATGTACCCTGCCTCTTGCACCATGATCACTGGAGACAGTAGTAGTAGCTGAGAGTCATTCCCAGCACAGATCAGGCAAAAGGTCATTTCTGAGGTTTGACTGAAGTCTTCGTCTGAACCGTCACGAAGGGCGGCGGGAAACATGCATTCCTTTAAAGAACGCTAGGTCTTCAAACATTTATTGGTTTAGATCAGTGTTGATGCCGGCCCCGAAGACCAAACTTATCACCAAATCCAATCCATCCATACTTCCATCCATCCATCCATCCATCCATCCATACTTCCTTCTTTTATTCCATCCATCCATCCATCCAATCATCCATCCATCCAAACTATCCATCATCCATCCATCCATCCATCCATTACTTCCTTCTTTTATTCCATCCATCCATCCATCCAATCATCCATCCATCCAAACTATCCATCATCCATCCATCCATCCATCCATTACTTCCTTCTTTTATTCCATCCATCCATCCATCCAATCATCCATCCATCCAAACTATCCATCATCCATCCATCCATCCATCCAA